CCTAACCTAACCTAACCTAACCTAACCTAACCTAACCTAACCTAACCTAACCTAACCTAACCTAACCTAACCTAACCTAACCTAACCTAACCTAACCTAACCTAACCTAACCTAACCTAACCTAACCTAACCTAACCTAACCTAACCTAACCTAACCTAACCTAACCTAACCTAACCTAACCTAACCTAACCTAACCTAACCTAACCTAACCTAACCTAACCTAACCTAACCTAACCTAACCTAACCTAACCTAACCTAACCTAACCTAACCTAACCTAACCTAACCTAACCTAACCTAACCTAACCTAACCTAACCTAACCTAACCTAACCTAACCTAACCTAACCTAACCTAACCTAACCTAACCTAACCTAACCTAACCTAACCTAACCTAACCTAACCTAACCTAACCTAACCTAACCTAACCTAACCTAACCTAACCTAACCTAACCTAACCTAACCTAACCTAACCTAACCTAACCTAACCTAACCTAACCTAACCTAACCTAACCTAACCTAACCTAACCTAACCTAACCTAACCTAACCTAACCTAACCTAACCTAACCTAACCTAACCTAACCTAACCTAACCTAACCTAACCTAACCTAACCTAACCTAACCTAACCTAACCTAACCTAACCTAACCTAACCTAACCTAACCTAACCTAACCTAACCTAACCTAACCTAACCTAACCTAACCTAACCTAACCTAACCTAACCTAACCTAACCTAACCTAACCTAACCTAACCTAACCTAACCTAACCTAACCTAACCTAACCTAACCTAACCTAACCTAACCTAACCTAACCTAACCTAACCTAACCTAACCTAACCTAACCTAACCTAACCTAACCTAACCTAACCTAACCTAACCTAACCTAACCTAACCTAACCTAACCTAACCTAACCTAACCTAACCTAACCTAACCTAACCTAACCTAACCTAACCTAACCTAACCTAACCTAACCTAACCTAACCTAACCTAACCTAACCTAACCTGGTGGCGATGGACCAAACACCCCTAATTCAGTGCTCGAGATGCCTGGGTTACGGCCACGGACGAAGACTCTGTAAAGAAGAGCAGGACACCTGCTCATAAGTAACGGACCCCACCAAAAGGAAGCCTGCCCTGAAAACCAAAGCGGGACAAAGCCGTCCTGCATAAATTGCCGCAGGGCAAATATGGAAACGGTCAACCACAATGCTTTCGAACAGGAGTGTCCGGTGAGGAGAAAATGGGACAGATTAGCAAGGGCCTCGGTGGCCTATTGCTAAGGTTATGAAAGGAAGAGACATGGACAAGAAGTCGCTCTTGGTGGTCCAGGCTAACCTGCAGAGGAAAGACGCGGCCACCACAGAACTGATAATGGAGGGACAAAGTAGGAAGGTGGCGGTGGCGATGGTACAGGAACCGTACGTGGGAAGAGAAGGGAAAATGAAGAACTACGGATGCACCAGAATCTTCCAGTTCGTGGGTAAAGCAGAAAAGGTAGTCAAAGCTGCTATCGTGTTGTTTGATCCAAACACCGATGCAACACTTTGCCCAGACCTCACCACTCCAAACATCGTAGTGGTGAAAGCAAAAACCCACGAGCAGGACGTGCATCTCGTATCATTTTACTTCGAGCCCACGCCCACGCCCATCGAACCCTACCTAAACGAGATCCGGAAGATTTGGAAGTCGGTAGGCCCTAACGTCATCTTTGCAGGTGACGCCAATGCCAAGAGCGACCTTGGGGGGAAAGATTACGGATAGAAGGGGGGAAAGCTTAATGGGATTAATCGCAGAAATGTGGGGGCATATGTGTCGAAATGAAGGCGAAACGCCTATCATCCGACACATATAGAGGTGGTAAGAGCTACAGCAGCTTCGTCGACATTACATTCCACTCCGCCAACCTTTTAGGATTGGTGGGGGAATGGAGGGTCGAGGAGGCACTGACCAGCTCGGACCACAACGCCATTCTGTTTGAGTTAAAAGAAACCAAATTGAAAGGGGTAACGATGGAAAGAACAACGAGGATCTACAACACAGGGAAGGCGCACTGGACTAATTTTCGTGAGAAAATTGGCCAGCTGCTAGAAAGGGAAAAGATGAGTGCAGAAAGCATAGAGAAGATAGTCAAGGAGAATGAGTTGAACAGGGCGGTTGAGAAGTATACAGAAATGATTAAGAAAGCATGTGAAGAAAACATACCAAAGCTAGGAAAGACTAAGAAACTTACCGTACCGTGGTGGACCCAGGAACTGGCAGAAATGAAGAAACAGGTCAAAACTAAGAAAAGAAGAATCAGGTGCGCAGCAGCATCTCGAAGACCGAAAGTGGTAGAAGAATACCTGAAAATAAAAGAAGAATACGAAGTTAATATAAAAGACGCAAAATTAAGAAGTTGGAAAGAATTTTGTAGTAAACAGGATAGGGAAGGGATGTGGGAAGGAATATATAGAGTGATCAAAAGGACAGAAGTTAGAAAAGAGGATGTGCCTTTAATAAAGGAAGGAAAAGTGCTGGGGATGGAAGAGTCTGCAGAATTATTAACGAGAACCTTTTACCCTGATGATGACGAGGGCGAAGATAAACAGGTGCACAAGGAAACAAGGGCAAAAGCGCGGTTGGTGAACGAGGGCCCCGGTGACGACCGTCCGGAGCCTCCGTTCACAGAACATGAGCTGGGAATGGTCCTGAGCACATTTAACCCCAAAAAAGCACCTGGACGAGACGGACTGACCCTGGACATCTGCAGGGAAGCAATTATGGCCGAACCGACACTTTTCCTCGCGCTCATAAATAGGTGCCTCACAATAGGACACTTCCCCACCATCTGGAAGGAGGCCACCGTGGTGATACTTCGGAAGCCGGGTAGGACGGACTACACAACTCCGAAGGCGTACCGACCGATTGGCCTGCTTCCAGTGATGGGGAAGATTGCGGAAAAACTCTTTGTGAGAAGAGCAAGCTGGCACATCATGCCAAAATTGAGCGCGAGGCAGTACGGGTTCATGCCGCAACGTAGCACCGAGGACGCCCTCTATGACCTGTTGAGCCACATAAAAAACTCTCTTCGCGAAAAGAAGATCGCAGTATTGGTCTCACTCGACATAGAGGGCGCCTTCGACAGCGCATGGTGGCCGGCCATAAGGTGCAGACTGGCGGAGACGGGATGCCCTAAAAATTTGAGGAGGGTCTTCGATGGTTACCTGAAAAATAGGAAAGTGAAATTGAGGTACGGGGGGAGCGAGATAGAGAGGAATTGTATGAAAGGTTGCGTGCAAGGATCCATAGGGGGCCCAATACTATGGAACCTGTTGTTGGACCCCCTACTGCAAGGCCTTGAAAGAAAGGGAGTCTGCGCCCAGGCATTCGCGGATGACGTTGTCTTGGTCTTCGACGGCCACACTGCCCGGGAGATCGAAGGGAAGGCCAACGCAGCCCTCGCCTATGTTCGGGAGTGGGGCGTCATGAACAAGCTGAAGTTCGCACCACACAAAACCAAAGCTGTGGTTGTGACTAAGAAGCTGAAGCATGATACCCCACGACTGAGCATGGGCGGGGAGGGCATTGAGGTGGTGAGAGAGGTGAGGCTTCTCGGACTAATAATAGACGAGAGCCTCACCTTCAACACCCACGTCAAAACCATCTGTGCGAAGGCCCACCGGATCTTCCACCAGCTGGCAAGAGCGGCAAAAATTAGCTGGGGCCTCGACACGTCAATCATCAGGACCATCTATACTGCAGTCATAGAACCCGTCCTGATGTATGCCGCGGGTGCATGGGGGCAGGCTGTAAGTAAAAAGTGTGTAAGAGTTCAGTTTGACAGAATTCAGAGAGTGTTTTTACAGAGGATATGTAAGGCGTACAGAACCGCATCGCTACACTCAGTGCAAATCCTCACAGGTATTTTACCCATTAACCTGAGGATTGAGGAGGCGGCGGTCCTGTACAGGGTGAAAAGAGGTCTAAGTCCCCTCCCGTATCTCGACGCGGACATAGAGACAAGAGTTAGACCAAACGAACTCCCTCACCCTGCTGACGAGCCGCGTCTGACGTTTGACCAATACAGCCTGGAACTGGGACTTGACGAACAGACAGACGCTACAAATATATACACCGACGGTAGCAAGACTGATGACGGGGTGGGTGCCGCAGTAGTGCTGCGAAGACTTGACAAAGAACTCAAGACTGTTAAAATAAAACTGGCGACTTACTGTACTGTCTTTCAGGCCGAAATGGTGGCGCTGCACAAGGCGGTGCAACTGGCAACGAAAGTCGCCAGCCCAAGGGTGAACCTGTGCAGCGACTCCAGATCGGCCTTGGATGACATAGTGAGCGGTCGCTCCCTCAGTCCCCTCGTTGTGCAAATTAGAGAGACCCTTGGGAGCCTCTCCAACCACAAGGAGGTGAGGCTCTACTGGATTAAAGCACACGTGGGTCACGAGGGGAATGAGAGAGCCGACCAGCTCGCTAAGGAGGCCGCACATGACAAAAAGAGAAAACCCGACTATGACAGATGTCCAGTCTCAAAAATAAAAAGACTTTTGAGAACCGACTCGATTCGGCGGTGGGAGGAGGAATATGGAGGTGGAACAACGGCTTCCACCACCAGGTTCTTCCTTCCAACCGTCGCATCTGCCCTTAAGGCAATGAGAGAGGTGAGGCTGGACAGCGAACTAACACAGGCCCTAACGGGCCATGGTGGGTTCGCCGCTTACCTCCACAGATTTAAATTAAAAGATGACCCCACTTGCATCTGTGGGGAGGGCGACGAAACTGTATTGCACCTGTTAACTCGCTGTCCAGTTCACGCGCGAGACAGAGCTGAAATAGAAATGAGACTGGACATAAACTTGACTGAAAATAGTTTGTCGGAAATATTCTCCAGCAATGAAGCGAGGCCAAAATTAGTAAAATATATAAAGAAAATAGTACAGAAGGCAAACGCCAGAAATAAGTAATAAAATATAATCAACAATAAAATGTTATAAACAAAAGAAAGCAATGTATAGAAATAAAATAAAGTGTAAAATAAGTATAGACATAAGAAAAGTAAATGTAAGCAATACAGAACTAAATTAAGACTTACGTATAGATTTAAGATAGACAAATGTATGTAACAACAAAACAAATGATGGATACAAATAAAATGGACAGATGTAAAGTTATTTTAAACCCAGTAATAAAAACAATAAAGATATACACATAGACAGATATTCCACGGCCCGGAGATAACTTCGTCCGGGGGGTAGGCTCAGTAGGTGAAAAAAAAAAAAAAAAAAAAAAAAAAAAAAACCAAACCTAACCTAACCTAACCTAACCTAACCTAACCTAACCTAACCTAACCTAACCTAACCTAACCTAACCTAACCTAACCTTTTTTTTTTTTTTTTTTTTTTTTTTTGGAGGAATCGACTCTTTACCGACGCCCCCGCCTGGCCACATCGAGTGGCGGGGGAGTGTGGGGGTCGGCCAGCTTGACCACTACCCACTAAACCTCCAAGAGCCCACGGGAGACTTGCCGGACGCGAGCGAGCGGTTAGTTGCCCTTGACCCGCATGCCCGCGCCCGTGTGTCCTGCCGCGCGTGTTTCCCGCGCGCGGCTCGCCCTACGTGGCCGGTTGATGGCCACGTCTCCTGGCTCGGTCCTAAGACCGAGGTCACGGCTGGCGCCGGGCGTAATCGCGCCGGCGCCGCCCAAGTCTCCTCCGTCGGAGTGCGGGGGCGTCGGGAGCAATCTCCCTCGCCCTCTCCGCTTCCTCCTTTTGCGAGAGGACGTCGGCGCAGAAGGCCTCAAAGGCCCGCCACGGAGCGTCATCCGCGCTCCTAACTATCCCTGCCACAATGGCTGGCAGGGACAGATCCGCGCCGAATGCTCCGGCCAGGGCAGTCCTCTGACTCGCCCAGGCCGGGCATGCCTCCAAGGTGTGTTGCGCCGTGTCTGAGGCGCATCCGCAGTGATGGCAGGAGACTGTTTCCTCCCGCCGGATCCCGTGCAGGTATTTGCCGAAGCACCCGTGCCCCGACAAAATCTGCACCGCGTGGTAGGACAGGGATCCCCACCGCTTCGTCCTCAGCCACTCGGGCAGGACGGGCGCGATCGCTCGAAGCGTATGCGCGCCTACCCGGGAGGTGGCAAGATGCTCTTGCCACCGCGCAACAACAGCCCTTTGGCCGTCCTCCCTCCAATCCTTGAGGAGCTCGTAAGTGAGCTCCTCGCCTCGACTCCGGACTTCAGCCCGGCGCCAGTAAATGTCGGCTAAGGCAGCCGCCTCCAGGTGCCAGGGTGCGAGCCCGGCTATTGCGCACACCGCGTCATAGGACACGGTGCGGTACGCCCTCGCCACCCTGAGCGCCATCACCCGTTGCGACTGCCTCAGCAGCGCAAGGTTCTGCGCCGACAAATCCTGGGCCCATATGGGGCAGCCATAGAGCGCCTTGGAGCGCACGACGCCGGCGTACAAGCGGCGACACCCCTCGCTCGAGCCGCCAAGATTCGGCATTATTCGGCACAAAGCCGATGCCGTGGCGGCGAGCTTCGGGGCAAGTGCCGCGAAGTGCGCCTTGAAGGACCACCGAGAGTCGAGGACCAACCCCAAATACTTTAGGGTGGACCCTATCCCGATGGCCTCCCCGCCGACGATGATGTGCGCCCCGCTCGGCGGCGCTCTCCTGGGACCGTGGAATGCGATCGCCTCTGATTTGTTCAGGGCGACTCGCAGGCCAATCCTCTGGATCCGCGCCACGACCTGTGCCACCCCGGCCGTGGCGCGAAGCTTGGCCTCGCGGAAATCGTCGCCCCTCGCAACCACCAGGGTGTCATCCGCGTAACAGATGACGCTGACACCCCGGATGAGAGAGCAACGCAGGACCCCGTCATAGCCGATGTTCCACAGGAGTGGACCTAACACCGACCCCTGCGGCACACCGCAGCTGACGGGGTGGGAACCCCATCCTTGCCTCCTGGGGAACGTGATGCGTCTCGCCGTGAGATACGACGCAATCACGTCGCGAAGATAGACAGGCACGCCATGATAGCGAAGCCCATCCATAATCGCTTCCCAGGGCAGGGTGTTGAACGCGTTGGCTATGTCCAGCGACACCGCCAAAACAACCCCGCCCTCCGCCACAGTCCCGTCCGACACATCGCGCAATCTCGCGATCGCGTCGATTGTCGACCGCCCCTTCCGAAAGCCAAACTGGCAATCGGACAGGTCTGGCCCCTCCAGAGCCAAGTGCTGCTGGATGCGGGTCGCTACTATACGCTCAAAGAGCTTGCCCGCTTCGTCCAGCAGCACGATCGGCCGATACGCCGAAGGCAAGTCCGGCGGTTTGCCAGGCTTCTGGAGAAGAACCAGCCTTCCCTCCTTCCACAAGTCCGGGAAGACGCGGTTCCGCAGACAAGCCGACAACAGCTTGCGGAACCGCTCGTCGAGGCCGGATTGCAAGGCAAGAGACAGAACCTTCCCGTGCACCCCATCAGGGCCGGGGGCCGTCCTCTTGCCTCGCGTCCTATCCAAGGCCGAGCTGAGCTCGGCCGATGTCACGTCCGGGACCCCCGCGTCCGGGGGAGGGGACGTCGACTGGGAGGGAAGCGAAGCATCCGCATGGGGAAACAAGGCCGACACGACTGAGTTCAGAAGTGCCGGCTCCATGCTGGATGTAAGGGGTGGGGCCCAGGGGCGCAGCTTGCTCATTACGAGCTTGTACGGCCGCCCCCATGGGTCGAGCTCCAAGGTGTTCAGGAGCTCCTCCCACGCCCTTTCCTTCGCCTCCGCGATCTTCATCCTGAGGGCCTTCTTTGCCTCCTGATAGAGGCAATAGAGGCGCCTTTCCTCTTCGGTGTTCCGCGAGGCACGCCGTCTCCTCCTGTACCTGGTGTACTGGCGTCGGGTCACCACACAAGTCGACCGAAGAGCGGCCAACTCCTCCGACCACCAGTACACCTGCCTACGCGGCGGAAGAGGTCGGGACCGAGCCATTGAAGCGTCACAGATACGCTCCAAGGCCGCCCCGAACCACTCCACCTCCTCCCTCACCGAAGAGGACTCCGGCTCTGGACACCAGGTGGCCACTATCGAGGCCACCTCCACCATCTCCCTGTCCAGGGACTTCAGGGCCCAACGAGGGCCCTTCTGCGCCGGAGGGGCGCCAGGCCCGATCGCCGTGGATTGAGAGGAGACACTGAACCGTATGTAACGGTGATCAGACAGCGTCTCCTCCCCGTCCAACACCTCCCAGTCGACGATGCGGCGCGCAAGCCCGGGGCTGGCAAAGGTAAGGTCCACTATGGACCCCCCCTGCATTCGGACGCACGTCTGCGTCGAGCCCCGGTTCACGAGCGCCAGGTTGTGCGCGGCCATCCACTCGACGAGGACGTCGCCACGAATATCTGAGGTTGGGGAACCCCAAACTGCCGACTTGGCATTGAAGTCCCCCGCCACTACCACCTCATTCGGGCGACCCCACGACACGAGGGCGTCTACTTCCGCCAGGAACTCCTCGAACTCCGACAGAGTCCTGTTGGGCGAGAAGTAGACCCCGACAACCACCACGTTGCCGCACTTCGCCGCGACACAACCCTGGCCTCTCCGTGAAGAGACAATTGGGGGAGAGCCAACGGCTCCGGTGACGACTATGGCGACAGTCTCGCCAAAGTCCCCGACCCAATTGTCCCCTTGCTGCACCGCATACGGCTCCGCAAGCACCGCAATGTTAATGGACCACTGCGCCAGGCCCTGGAATAGGAGATCCTGGGCCCTGGCGCAATGGTTCAGGTTCGCCTGGAGGAACCGTAGGGCCATACTAGGCCCCTACGGTCTCGGCAACCTCCATTGCGGTCCCGCTCGGAGGGACGGCGGCCCGCTTCTCCGGGACTCTCCGCCGCATCTTTTTGGTGGGGGCCGAGCACTTGGCACCACCCACCCGATGGGTTGCCTCCTTGCCGGCCGCTGCGCAAACCGCGCAATGCGGACTGGCCGTACAAGAGGCCGCCAAGTGCCCGGGCTGACCGCATCTGTAGCAGAGACCGCTACGATCGCTCGCGCAATCGCAACGGCTTGCCACATGGCCAGCCTCCAGGCATCGGTAGCAACGCAGTGCCCGGGGTTTTCCCAGAGTCACCCGCGCCGCCACCCATCCCACCAAAAATCGACCCTCCAGGAGCCGTTTCGCAGAGACCACAGGGACATGCGCCCAAACTGCGCCAAGTCCCGTGCGGTCCCGCCTCACGTCTCCGACCCTCACTTGCCAGAGAGGGCACTCGCCCTTTTTCACGATGGCATCAGCCACCTCCTCCTTCGAGACGGAGTCGTCAAGGCCCGAAATTCGGACGTCGACGGCCTTTTGTGGCCGCGACACCTTGACGGCCTCGCCGTCCAGGACCTCCCCGAGCTTTTTCGCGAGAGCGTCGGCCTTGGGGCCGCTCGCGGCTCCGGGGAGTTGGAGGATGGTGGCTCCGGTGGCCGCCTTCCTCACCCTGATGCCATCGAGGCCTGTGACCTCCTTGAGGTCCAGCCTCTCTCTGGCCTTCCTCAGGACCTCACTGTACGAAAGCCCCGCTTTCGTTGCGTCCTCGGTGATGGTCAAAACCACCGCCGAAGACCGAGGCGCCCTGAGTTTCGGCTTTTTCGCCGTTTGAGGGCCGGATGACTTTGCAGGCCCTTTGCCTGCACGCGGTCGTGCCTGCTTTTTCGGAGCCTGACCACCCGCCCTGGATTGGGCAGGCAGACTCCGGGGCTCCTTCTTCCGGGACGTGCGTCCCTTTCGGACCACCGTGACCCAGTTCCCCTCAAGGGAGTCCGGGTTCGGCGGCCTCGATGGTTCAGGGGGAGGTGCCACTACCTCACCCCTAACCGGAGCCCTCTTTTTCTGCCTCTGCGGCCCCTTCTTCGCTGAAGGGGCGGCAGGTTTGGCGGCTGCTTTGTCAGCCGCCAATGGCGGCCGGAGTCGGGGAGCAGGG